CCACACATTACAGATCCTTAAATGCCTTAATTATATGACTTTCATATCAAGTTAATATTCATCAATATCAACGTAAATTAAAAGATGAAGAAGAAGAGCCCAACAAGAAGACCTTACATGATAAAATCCAATTTTCATAGAGAGACTATATCAAATTTACGTGGAGCAGGTGATTAAGTGCCCAGCCAGTAAATTTCCCATGGCCTTCGATATATCCAGGGATCCGTTATGCATGGCGCTTCCCTAACCTAAAAGGTGAGGAGAGCCTCTAGTACAGTACCATGCAAAGACAACTTTGAAAAAAAAAAGAGAATTATTAGACAGAGAACATTAAACTGTTCACATTGAATCTTATACTTTCAATTAAACCAAAAAACTGTGAATCTAAGAACTATAATGATCACAAACCTTAATCTTCCAAACATCATACGAAACCACATTAATCATTGTGCCCCACCCGAAAACAAACCCCTAATAATACTAGATATGATAAAAGAGCAACCTCAATCTCCTCCAACTATAACACTATCCTATCAACACCTATAATCTCCACTAAGCTTTCAAGACCCAAACACTATGGAGAAAACCAGAAAATTAACAAGTAACTCGTTTTCATATCTGCTTGTATTATCTCCTACAGGTTCTCTCTGCAAAAATTTTATAAGCCAATGCAGAATGATTCACTACCATGCGAACTCAAAGTGCCGTATACTTCTGATATAATTTTATAACCTCTCTTATATAATGCATGTGCACGTTGCGTGTGATCTAACTCAAACGTTTATGCTCGTGTTCTAGTTAATAGAATTAAGAGCATCCAAGCCATGCTTGAGAGGCCTTTTTTGCCCCATAACATCGCTCAATTTACAGTAAAAATGGCATCGGCGCAACACCCGAAAGACCTATCACCACCCCACTCAAACTGATTCACCCCAACAGAAAACGGTAGAATACAAGCCAAGAACAAAAAATAGTCAAAATGTAACCACAAAACGAGATGAAAAACCCAGGCCAAACAAGAAAAAATTAAGAACATCCAAGTATATAAAATACATAAAAAGTTTGAACAGTTCTCCAATTAAAGCATCTAATTGAAAAAATTAATAGAAGGTTTGACTAAAAGAATGACACAAAAAATGATGATGATAATTCAAATGACATCAGAATTTATGGTACAAGGCTAAAGCTGCGTTAAGCCACCAATTATTTATGGAGGTCAGAGTGGTCATGGCTTTAGTGATTAAGAGGTCTAATGTGACAGTGGGTGGAAATATCAAAGATAATCATCTGAGGTTAAATTTATAAACTCAAGAAGTGAAAAAAAAAAGAATAGAAGAAAACGAGCCAAATTTACCTAAAAAGGTAAAAAAAACTATTTCGTATTTCAATGGTCCATTCGGAATATAGGAGCTCATAGTTGTGATTGAAATATGCTCAATATATTTTGCCGAACGCAGGAATTTGGTCATTAATGATTGGCCTAAAACTGTATCTCTCTTCCCTTTATTTTAATTGATAATTAAAATAAACTAGTTAAGTAACAATTAATTAAAATATGTTATTAAATTAATAAAAAAATTATTAAATAAATAAGTCTAATTAATTAATTAAATGTGTTATTAGTATCAAATTTTTTTATTTAAACTATCTTTTAACAGAAAATAAAATTAAATAAATCAACTAAATTAATTAAAAAATTTAAAAAAATAAATAATAATTTTTAATTTAAATCCTTATACTTAAATTAAGGAAAAAATTAATATTATTTTTTGTCATTTTTTAAAAATAATTTAAATAGTTATAATTTTAATCAATTTAATAAATAATTTTAAAATTTCTCCTGAAAACTTGAAAAGCCGCCGGAAAATTTAGAACAAAATAAACCGTTGGAAAGCCGCCGGAAAACTGACCGCCGGAAAGCCGCCGGAAAATTCCGCCGGTAATAAGTGATTTTCCTGTAGTGGATGGATCATCACAATAGGTCAAGTCATGAGATATTTAGGCTAGAGTTAGCCTATATAGATTAAAGATCCAATAGGCCTAGTGGGTGCCAATTGGGTTAGGTCTAAGGTTAATTTATCTAGAGTTAGGGCTTGTATTCACTAGCTTAGTTTAATTATAATAGTATGACAAGACTAAGGAATTTTAGTGACATCATAAATCATGGTTCTCTAGCCCTGATAGAGCTTAATTTTTTTTATAACTTTTAAGTCTGACTAAAGTGATAAAGTTAACTCAACTGAACTTTTGGTTGACCAAGATTTACTTGATTGATTGAGTTTAATTCAATATATTGGATGATTGGTTGAGCAAGCTAAGTTTGGCCTAAATAACTAAAATGGTTTTATTGATTGATTTATTGAGTGTGATTAGCTTAAAGAATTAATTTGAAGGTTCAAGGATTCTATACAGAGAATATGGGCAAAAAAAAGTTTATTCTCCTATTAGACAAATGACCAAGTTGATAGCCCATTATTACATGACTTTCAATGCTCCCCATCGACATTCACCCAAAGATAGTAAATTAATGATTGATATCAACTAACTACCAATATTTGATGCTCAAATTTTTGGACATTTGATCTTCCCTCCTATTAGAAAATAATAAATTTGACTTCCCACCATTATTGAACTTTTTGAGTTTTCTATTGACTATTACTCAACTCTGCTAATAACCAACATCCAAAATCTATAAGCCACCGACTTCTAATAATCGCCCTATGAATTGTCAGACACTTTTACTACCAATACAAATATTAAATGACCACCCACCATTGCTCAAATTCTAACATTTCCCGCCGACTACGATCTACCATTTGGCAAACATTGACGTATAACAATTGCTAGTTATTGACATGTTACACTCATCTTCTCATCATCCAACCTCACTTCCTATTAGAACAACAAAGCTAATCAACTTTTGTTGCTTGACCTCTAACATCTACAGTCAACTTTCATTAGACACTCCTCAACCTGATGACAACTCTAACATTTCAAAACTCATGCAACTACTAAGACATGAGACATCTCCCATAATTCAATTATATTACATTATATTAACATCTTCTATGATTATGAGAAATGCACCACTTATATTCATTGATTCATATTAATGGAACCATTTTAATTGGGGCATGTCCCTATAATCTTTTCCACTCAAATTTTTCATCTAAAAATATTTCACCTCATACACCCAACTCCCAACTTATATATGTACTTACAGACTTTTCATCATGCAACCCAAATTTATTAAATTATCTCCACCAACATAAACTATCAGTGCATAACAAATATCATTAAAATCTTTATGATTTCAAAAAAATTTTATCTTCAATCGAAGGCAGCAAACATTTTATCAATGGAAAACTTAAATTCTATGCGAAAATAAAATATACTTACTTTCAAAAGATTGTCTTTCATTTGATTGGAATTAAATAGATTGATTTTTAAATATATTTTGCATTTATGGAGAAATTCTCATTAATAGCATTTTCAAATTATAACGCAGGCTACATTTGGGATAATTTTTTTATTATTTTATAAAGCAATTTCTTAGTACATTTTTTTTTTAAATTTGAAATTTTTGTGCTAAAAAGTTCCTTCATAAAATAATAAAAAATAAAGGTAAAAACAAAGCCTTAGTTTTAAGAGAGCAAGCTTACGATCCTTCTTATATTTTTCACATATTTATTCAATAGTCAATATTCAATGTGATCGTGACCGGCAATACTTTGCGGGCCATATTTTACATGTGGTAAATTTTGTGATGCTTTTCGATGATTTTGATTTTTTTCAAGACATACATAAATCATTTTAAATATTATTTGACTTAAATCAAATATTCTTCAAAGGAAAATTTGATGAATAACTAACTTATATAGAAATTTAAGCCTGCATTCATCCCATCTGTCATAAAGTGCTTAAAGTCTTCAATCATAATAACAAAATAAAATCGTTGTTGAAATTAGAAAACAGATATAAAAATGAACCACCAGGTCCACATTCCTCTTGCAAATTGCAATGTAGTAGTCAAATAACATCCAAATAACAACTCTTAACTACCCCAACTAAACCCTTCACAAATGCAAGTGATCTGTAATCCCAAGCTTATTGATAACATCAAGTTTGTTAAGCTGATTGCATCATCTATAGACTTATGAGTAGAAACATCTACTTTTTTAAATGTCTGTCCCTTTACTCGATCTGATTGATATAAAACTCTGCCAAGTGGTCTATTGCCGTTAAACCAAAAAATATTCTCTATTTCTGATAGAACAAGTCTTTGGTATATATGAAAAAGAATAGTAAGAAAGCAATAATCAAACGGAAGCATGATTATGATCTAAAAAGTAAAGGAATAAGAAGAAAGCTCCACATACAGATCCTATAAATGTTTAAGTTATTATGACTTTCATATCAATTTTCATAATATCACACGTATTAAAAGAAGAAGAAGAAGAAGACCGAAATGATAACGATCCAATTTTTTCATAGAGAGATCTATTAAAATTTGCGGAGCAGGTATTAACTTGCCAGCCAGGTAATTTACCATGGCTTCATTTTATATTCCAGGTTTCGTTATGCATGGCGACTAGTAGTTGCAACAACTTTGAAAGTAATATTAGCAGAGACTTTGTAGCATTTGATCTTTATTTCATTAAACAAAACTGTGCAAGACATGTCACAAACCTAATCTTCCAAACTCTAACGAACCCATAACTTGGCCCCCACCCTTATACTAGTATATAAGAGAACCTCATCATCCTTCCCATGACATCCATCACCATCTCCACTAAGCTTTCAAGACCAAAACTATGGAGATTAACAAGTCTTGTTTTCTCTTCTGCTTGTTTCTCTGGTTCTCTCTGCAAATTCTTATAGCCAATGCAGAAGTTCACTACCATGACTTTGTGGTATGCTTTGTATATATTTATAACTCTTTTATATATGCATGTGCAGCGCTTGATTAATCAATAACTAGTTATGTGTTGTAATGATAGGTGCAAGCCAAGCCAGTGAAGAGGCTGTGCCATACTCGCTCAATTATTACAGTAAATGGGCAGTTCCCAGGGCCGACCCTCAAGGTCAGGAATGGAGACAGCTTGGTTGTCAAAGTTGTGAACCAGGCGAAGTATAATATTACCATCCATTGGTATGTTAAACTACTTATATCTGTTTTTCGAATGTATATATTTATGAGAAATATATGTAAATTTGACGCTAATATATGTACTTGTGATCAGGCATGGAATTAGACAGATGAGAAATGGTTGGGCAGATGGTCCTTCTTATGTGACACAATGCCCAATTCAGCCTGGAGGTACCTACACATACAGGTTCAAAATAGAGAACCAAGAGGGAACCTTATGGTGGCATGCTCACAGCTCTTGGCTTAGAGCTACAGTCTATGGAGCCTTAATAATCCTTCCCAAAAAGGATACTTCCTACCCCTTCGCCACACCAAAGAGAGAATTTCCTGTCATTCTTGGTATGATAATTTCTTTCCAGATTAATCTTCGGGGGATTAGGAAAAACATAAAAATCATTAACTAAAAGTGCTTCCTATTTGATTCATTGTAGATCGATGCAATTAATTAAGTATAAATTAAAAATTATTTAATTTTATCAGATTTACTTTGAACTGAATACATGAAGGATTAATTAACTCTACAAGTAGTTTAATTATAAGGGTTTGAAAGTCAATACGAAAGTATTTTTACACAAATCATTCTAACTTTACAGAAGCAAAAGTCTTTAAATCATCATCACTGAATAAAAAAGGCATAATCAATAATTAATACATGGATAACGAGTGAATAATTAGCTAACAGTAGCTACCACAATGTCAGGTGAGTGGTGGAATTCGAACCCCATTGACGTCATCCGGCAAGCACTGAAAACCGGAGCAGCTCCGAACAATTCTGATGCCTTCACCATCAATGGCCAACCAGGAGATCTCTACAAATGCTCCAGCAAAGGTAATCTAATCTTCCCATTGACAAATTGGTACTGTACTGTCATTTGAATATATACAGTTACTCGATCCAGCCCAATTTCTGTGTCTTATTGAAATATAAGAATATGAAATCAATGCAGAAACTACGGTACTCCCGGTGGGTCCCGGCGAGACGATCCTCCTCCGCCTCATCAACGCCGCCATGGTCAACGAGCTCTTTTTCTCGGTAGCCGACCACAAAATGACCGTGGTGGCCGCCGACGCCTCTTACACTAAGCCCTTTACAACCTCAGTCATCCTTCTTGGACCGGGCCAGACCAATGACGTCCTTATCCAAACCAACCAGCCCGCTGGCCGCTACTACCTAGCCGCCCACGCCTACGAAAGCGGACCGCCGAACACCCCTTTCGACAACACAACCACCACCGCCATCCTCAGCTACGAAAACCAAATCACTTCAACACAGCCAAAGCCCGCCGCTTTACCAGCCTTCAACGACACGGCAACCGCCGCCGCTTTCACAGCGAGCATTAAGAGCCCGAGACCCGTCAAAATCCCCGGACCCGTAAATGAGAACCTCTTCTTCACAGTCGGGCTGGGCCTTTTTAACTGCCCGCCGGGAAAAACATGTAGCGGTCCCAACGGCACTCGGTTCACCGCTAGCATGAACAATTACTCTTTTGTTCTCCCGAAACGGCAGTCTTTGCTCCAAGCCGCGGAATTCGGCATTCCCGGCGTGTTCACGACAGATTTCCCGGCTACCCCTCCCGTCAAATTCGACTACACTGGCAACAATATAAGCCCGAGCCTTTACCAACCCGTTAAAGCCACGAAGCTCTATCCGCTGAAATACGGTTCGGTTGTTCAGCTAGTGATGCAGGGAACCAACATCGTCGCCTCGGAGGAACACCCAATGCATATCCATGGTTACGAATTCTACGTGTTGGCGACGGGAACAGGAAACTTCAATGCGAAGAAGGATACGGCGAAGTTCAATCTCGTGGACCCGCCGCGCAGGAACACAATTGGCGTGCCAGTGAAGGGGTGGGCAGTCATAAGGTTCGTGGCCGATAATCCTGGCGTTTGGTTTGTTCATTGCCATATCGACTCTCATCTGACATGGGGCTTGGCTATGGCGTTTCTGGTGGAGAATGGAGTTGGGAAATTGCAATCTACCATTCCTCCTCCGCTGGACCTTCCAAAATGCTAGGATCTGAAAGAAGTGAACTCTGCTCTGTCCTGAAGCCAGATCGAATCGTTTGCTGCTCTGTTTGGCTGAGGAGGGTTACTTAAATTGTTTTCTTTTGTCTCTGTTCGTAGTTAATGGATTTTGGTTAGTTGATTTAACTTGCATATTGTGCAAGTATGAGATAATTAATTATCAGAAATTGTTTCTTCTTAGTTAAAGCATTGGATTATTGCTAATTTCATTGATGCAATCTTATTGTGACTTGGTGCAATGGTCACGTTAGTGTATTGTTTAGGTCCTGTTTAGTGCAGTTATTTCATTATCAGAAAATTGTTGTAACTTTATTTGACTATTATAAATTCTTTTTTTTAAATTTTTATGATGATAAATATATTTGTACATTCAAATGTTTTCTGGACTTGGTTCGGATTAAGCTAGGTTGATTTAGTTCATCTTGGCGAGGCGAGTAGGTTGAAGATAGAGAACTCGCAAATTCTCCAATGATAGAGAACATGTTGACTCGTCTAAGGATAAAGAACTTGTCAACTCGCTAGAACCATGAAGAGCTTGCTAAAGCCTATTCAACTCGTACTACTAATGGCCTGTGCTAATTTAGCCAGTACGCAACATACTTTATGTGTAATTTGTAATAGCCTTCACAAGGCAATGACATTACTGCAACCAAGATTTCATCTGTTCAATACCACACAATCGACCACATTCTCACCATGAAGTAAATGCAAATTTTCTTGTAAAATAGCTACATGCCATCTAAAATTAGATGATGAAGAGTCATCGAGACTTAATATATATTTTTTATAATGGAAAACCTCAAGTCTAGGCCTATAAAACAAGGAGCTAGGGAGATCCTACTTTTATATCATCAAATTATCATTATCCTACTTTTATATCTTTTGATAAATCTCAACAACATACCTCATTCCTTGCCCTCTTTTATCTTATCAATCTTATAAAGCCTTATGAGCAAGGTCCAAGTGTCACCTATGAACAAATTTATTTTCAATATCCTCGAAAGTATGATGTGCATGAATTAATGTTATAAATAAGAAATTAAGTACTACAAGAAATGGAGCATCGTATCCAAAGTGAATCAATTAACATGAATAACCAATATTTTGTTACTAGTAAACAACTAGTGAAGATGAAGGAAAAACACATTAAAATGGTCCAAGGAGCTCTGGAACAAACCAATAAGTACCTCTCAAGGGAAGATGTACCCGAGGTGTCATTTAACTAATGATATCAAAATTCAAGTTAGAGAGAGAAGGAAAATTTCAAAAATTTATTTCGCGCGGTTTCAGGCTTGCTCAGATGGCGGCAGAAGGTCGTCGGCTGGCAATCCTTTTGATGGTCGGCATTCTACTGCTGGTGCTCTGTTTTCAGCTCGTTCGAATTCGGTCTAATCTTCGCCTGCTTTTGGAGACGTAAGTTCAGGGTTTGCACAAGATGGAAAGTTGATGTCTATGACTGGTAAGCCTTTGATCATCAACGAAGGTGGTTTGTTTACTTCTAAAAAACCTATCGAAGAAATAGGTAAATGAAAAAAAGTAATGGTCGATAGCTTGGTTAAAATTTCAAATAAATCTAGAACTCTCCCATATTCTAGATTTGATATGAAATCAAATAATGATGCTTCTTCTTCTTCGTCTGGCTCAAAGATGGCTTTGAATGTAGTGGGAGATGCTAAACTTGTGGGTGAGGATTCAGAGAGGTTTGGTTCTAAATTCATGGATTCTGCTGGAATTAACTTGAAGATGATCCATGTCTCGAAAAATGATAAGAGAGATTTTAATCATGTTAATTATATTGATACTTCAAAACGTGAAGATGTTCGCTCTGTCTAATCGGTGGTTGATATTGAGAAGGTCCTTATTTGTGAAGAAGGAGATATGGGTGAATGCAATAAAGATGACAATCGACCAGCTGTTCCCAAACAATTGTCTAGCAATGTGTTGCAAAATGCTTGGAGTAAAAAGTCGAATATCAATGTCAGAGATCTGAATTATGGTGAAGATTTTATTGAGAATAGTTCAGTGGTTAAGTTGCATTTACAAAACAAATTGGAAAACTCAAAAAGCTTCAAAATTCATTGGCGGTCAAAGTATTTGGTGAGAATGTTCCCTTTCATGTGGTTAGTATGGAGTTGAGGAGACAATGGTCTAAATTTGGTAGATTTCATCTAACAATGCTTGGAATGGGATGGGTTCTATGTGCGTTTTATGAACTAGAAACATTGGAATCAATTTTTTTCTAATGGACCTTGGTATGTTATTAAACATATCATTGGATTGGATAGATGGTCTCCATCCTTTTCTCCTTCCTCTTTGAAAGGGTTATCAACTCCTATATGGATTAGAATGCCATAATTACCATTATAATGTTGGGATGAAATTAATATATGCAACATTGCTTCCAGAGTTTGTACACCACATATGATTGATGGGAACATATTTCAATGGGGGAGAAGGGAACTTGCAAGAAATTGTATTCGAATCAAGTTGGATGGTAAGTTTCCATTGGGAACCGGGTAGAGGGGAGCTCAGGTAAATTCTTTCAGATAATCAAATATGAAAGGATATCTAACTTCATCTACAATCATGGTAAGATAGGGCACTTAAATTGTGAGTACAAAGCTATGGAGGTGAATCAGGCTTCTAATCCAATAGAAAATATGGATAAAAATGTTAGGCCAACTTAGTTGAGAAACTCAAGATCAACTAACGGGGTTACATTTGATGCTGATGCAAGTAAAGTTGAATATGAACCGTGGGTTCATGTCAATTATGGGAAGAAAATGTTTAAAGTTCTGGTTTCATAAATGCTGGGTTCCATCCATTGAAGGAGGATGGTGGGAAGGGGACTGAAATAATGAAGCTTGATGGAATTGAAAGGGAACTAGAGATCGTTAATTGCCTAACAGGAGTGAAGAATCTGATTTAGTGCTGGGAGGAGTTCTATCTAAAGATGCAAATCAAGTTTAAGATTTTATTCAAGATTGTCATGTGTATATGCTGGCTTCGGAAAAAGAAGGGGCATGATTTCTAATTATTGTATTATTCCTAGTGATGACAACAAATTTAAAGTCTTAGATGGAATGGTTGAAAAAGGGGAGATATTTTGCCCAAAGAAGGTTGTTGTGACATCTTCTATTATTTTAATTTATATTAGAAAATTGGGCGATGAAAATATAGAGATGAAAATCGAGGTGATGGATGGTGATTTGGGCTTCAAAGAAGGTGGTTCTTCTAATGCCAAGAAGAAAGGTTTCAAACAACTTAAAGGTTTGGGTCCTATTAAATTGGCTCCTAGGAGTAGGAAAGTGGATGGTGAACAAAAACATAAAGTGGGGATCACATCCCCTCGTGGATAATTATGTCTTCTATAGCTTTCTGGAACTATAGAGGAGCTAGGAAAAGGAAAGCTTCCTATATCTCAAGGAGTTCATGAAGGATCATGGTGTATTTTTTTTGGGGTTTGTTGGAAATCAAATTATCTTTGATTGATATAAGGGATTTTAATTTGTTAATTGGTGTTGATTGGGATTATTTCCAAGTTCCATCAGAAGGATTGTCAGGAGGCATTCTGGTGGTATTGACGTATAGTATGGCTATATTTACTGTTCTAGAATCTTCTCCCCAATTTATAATTGGAGAGTTAGATGTTCTTAATAAAGGAAGGTGGAGAATTGAATCTATATATGGGAATAAGGATGTTTATAGAAGAAGGATTCTTTGGGATAAGCTGGAATTTTATTCTTCCAAAGACTTGCCCATGGTGGTAGGGGGAGACTTTAATTGTTTACTTGCTAAGGAGGACAAAAGGGGAGGTAAGAGATTTATTTTTTCCCAAGGACCTAAATAAATGAAGTCATTTTTTTCTATTAATGAATTTCATGAGGTTGGGTGTGTTGGGCCAAAGTTCACTTGGTGTAACAATAAGACTGGTTCTTGTCCGATCCTAGAGAGATTAGATAGATGTTTTTTGAATTCAGCTGCATTAAGTTCTTCCCATCATGTGGTGATTAGGCATCTGGCTAGAGTTGAATCGGATCACTACGTGGTCTGATGGAATTAATTCATATGTTTAAGAGAGGAATTAAATTTGAAGATGTTTGGGCTTCTATCCTGGCTTTAGCTGCTGTGGTGAAAGGATTTTGGATGATGAAATCTGTTAGATGTTTCGATCAATTTCTGAACACCAGGATGAAAAGAGCTTTGAAGGCTTTATTTTACTGGAGTAAAGCTAAGCATAAATCTTTAGTTCAATTGAAAGATTGCCTTTTGAAGGAAATCTTGGAGCTAAAATTTAAATAAGCAAATAATGGAGGTCTTTCGATTGAAGATAGTTGAAGTCTCAAAGTAAAGGTGGGGGAGCTAAACTCAACTTTGGCTCAGTTGGATACATGGTGGAGACAACGTGCAAAGGTCAAGTGGTTGGTTGAGGGTGATTGCAATTTCAAATTCTTTCAAGCATTTACAACGTGCAAAGGTCAAGTATGATTTTAACTAAGTAACTGTACATGCACACTGGAGGAGTGTTTAAAATTTATAATTTTTAAACTGATCGTACTGTATGAAGTCATCGTACGGGACAATTTGGTTAGTTTTTTTCACCTACGAGCAGATAAACATACAGCAGACAGAAAATTTTTCTATGTACTAATCGTACTGTACAAAGGCTTCTTTGTATGTACGATGTCAAGAGTACAAATTGGACGGGTCACTTTTCATCCCGACTAATGACAAAGTTTTTTGAACTATTCGTATTGTACGATATATTATTCATACAGACGACATCTAGAGTACAAATTGGATGGGTCCCTTTTCGTCCCAATGAATGACAAAGTTTTCTAAATTGTTCGTACTGTACGATACCCTATTCATACAAATGATGTTTATAGTACAAAAATATGGGGTACTTTTTTGTCCCGACGAAGTCAAAAAAATTTCTAACTTTGGTACAGTACAAACTTGGTTAGTAGTGGATGATCAACATGTAAGAAAATGATTCATAAAGATTTACAAAAGGTTCGTACGTAATAGTTTTGAATTGTTCGTACGTATAAACATACGATCATACTGTACAATCGTACACACTCAAAATGAAAATTTTCAATTTTATGGACTTCGTGTCTTTCAAATAAAAGGTCCTTAGAAACTGATATGAAAAATATTTTTCTTCATGATTTTTCAAGGGTATGTGAAAGAGTGATTGTGGGAAAGTATTTGAGAGAGATTTCTTACAAGTGGAGTATGCAAGATTCACAAGGTTACTTAAATGTAAGGATCTCTTTATATTTTTCATTACAACTCTTCTTTTCTTCTTTCTAGTTGCT